CCGTCAACTTATCACTTGTTCATTTGACTGTTTGATATCAGCATCAACAAATAGTTTTGGCCTAAATCAATTTTAGCTCTCACCGCCTGCGCACTGTTTACCTCCTTAATGCGGTTTTTGTCAACAGCAAGATTTTTAGCCCTTAAACCAGGTTGTTGCGTTCCACCAACTGGCGCTGTGGCTCTCAATGATCCGAGCCGAATTGTCATCTATGCCAGCAGTCTTCGAACACCAATAAATCTATTAGTACCATAAAAGTAAAACCCTAATCTCATCATTACTGAGTTTTACTCTCTCCTTGTTAAAATATGGTGGCCTAGTGAACCACTCAGCTGATTAGAAAGTTATTACTAATGGTCTCACTAACCAGACATAATATAATGTGATGCGGCGAGAGAGACAAAGCCACACCACAAATTGTAATAGGTTGTAACGGAATGGATAAAGTTAAGCGAGCAGACTCGTAGCGGTCGCCGGCCGGCACCGGCACGGCGCGCTGTCGGAGCGCCACTCAAAAGGGGTCGGGGCCAAAATTCCGGACCCGGGCCCCGGCGAATTCGTACGGGCCGGGGCTCCATATCTGAGAGCACGTAAAACACGATCAACATCAGGGCCCGGTCGTCAGCGAGTCTACCTGGGTCCTTCGTCAAATCCAAACCCGACCTCTCCGAGAACACTCAATTATTTTAATGTTGACTGAGAACTCATAAGTAAATGACTCACATATTAATCTTAATGAATTAAAATCAAGTTATAAAGTATTGAAAGTATCTACGCGCTTTCAAGTTTTTCTATCTTTAATTAGCTATTATTATAGGATTTCACTACTCTTCCCAAATACATCCAATTAATAAGCTTGATTTGATTTAATTTAAAAGCTTCGTCTAAGCATCTTTGATTTATGACTCTGCTTGGTTCTACTTTAATAATTAACTTATAAATTATACTATGATTCTGGATTGCTTTAATTAAGATTACAAATGTTGACATTGCTTCTTTAGATCCCTGAGCTTTCCTTGTTTTCATATTTACTTATTACATTATTTAATAGAATCGTATATTAATTGAATTAAATATTACCTGGACAATAATACAGGCTATATAATAAAGATTAAGTTGGTACCGCATATATGATTGATCTCAAAGGATTTATACATGAAGTATAATAGGTGTATAATTATAGTATAAAGTCAGTAGAAATCCTACCATAACATAGGAATTAATATATTTATTCAGTGCTTCTCAACGCTATAAATTATAGTATTGTGCCTTTATTAAATTTATATGTTGCGATTGCGCAGTATAATCTCAACCGGTTAATTACGATATAGCAAGAGGAAATGGAGATCAGTAATAGCAAGTTAACTTCTAATCATTTACATATTAAAAATTGAACGAAGGTTACTCACACTGATTAACGCATAACCTCTAGTAATATAGGGAGGGCTCAGCCAGAGCATCAACATTATACACAAGAGTTTGCAAGAGATAATATACAGCTCTTCGATAAGAAGAGATAATTTCAAACCATATATAGAGAGAAGTATAACTAATTGGTTTTTAAACTATACCAGTTTATATTATATACCTTATTAAGCGAGAGGACCATCAAATTGTCATTTCTAATTTACTGTGACAATACTCATAATCAGATAAAAGTTGAAGGAATATGAATCAACAATTGAAGTTATAACTCCACTGAAACCCAGAACACATCCAAAAACTTATTATAAAATTTATCTTTATATATAAGTATTAGCTAAATAAAAAAGAATGTCAATTCAAAATATATATAAGGGAAATGACAATAAAGATTTACTAATAGATGTGAGAAAAGATTTACGAACACAAAAATTCTCGCCAATGATACATAAATCAAACCAACAACTACACAAATTCAAACAATAGAAAATATTAGAAAATGAACCAAAACTCGGACAAAACAATACGCATTAATATATGAATTAACATACAAAAGGTATAAAGCGTTTAACTATTTATAAAGGAACGAGAGAGGATTATTTAAAGATACTGAAACTATTACATAATCCACAATAAGCAGTTAAGGCGAAAGTGCAAGCAACTTTCAGGTAGATTAGAGTAAGAATATATGACTTTCTCATGAGAGAAGAGGATCAAGTATAGCAACTTTCTCTAATACACTATAAACTATAGTGTATGATAAAAATAGTATACTTCAACCTTAGAAATTTCCTATTTACTATATATATATATATATATATATATATATATATATAATATAATATATATATATATATATTATATAATTACATAGAGAATATATACATAAATAAGAGAGAGTATATCGATATATACTTATATAAGGAGTATACACTGTATAATTATATATATACTTATACATATATTATAATATATAGAGGAATTATACTATATATTACTTATATACTAAGAGAAGAGAGGTACTATTCATATACTATATATACATATATTATACATATATAAGAGAGAGCTATACTTATATAAGGAGAGAGTTATACATTTAGATACTTAATATACTTATACATATATTAAGAGAAGCATACTTATACATATATATACTTATATAAAGAGAGACCCTGTGTATACATTTATATAATATATACTAAGAAGAGGAGTTAATATATATATATATATATTATTATATATATATATATATAAAATATTATATATATATATATATATATATATATATATATATTATATACACAATATATATACACATATACATATATTTTATATATACATATATTATACATATAAGAAAATAAAAAAATAAAAAAATAAAAAAAATAAAAAAAAGGCACTGTTCTGGGCCGGGCCGGGCCGGTTTCCGGCCCGACCGGGCCCGGGCCGGCGGGCTTTTTGGACAACCCTAGGTATAGATATAACTTTTTACTGAAAAATACAAAATAAAGAAATCACATATATTGTTTTTAGTGAGAACTGAGCCTGAAACAGGATGCTATGCGCTATAGTTTCCCCTAATTTGCACTTATGTACCCTCACTTGTTTTGGAAACTTATACTCTTTATAGTTTTAATAACATGCATTTAAATACCATAAATGTTTAAAACTTGCACTTAAATATTACACACAGATATGCAAACTTGAGAGTATTTAGGTGTCAATTTTAAAAACTTTAGGATATATAAGTGCACGTTTTTAAAACTTTAAGATATATAAGTGCTTCCAAAAACAAGTGATGATATGTAATGTGCAACATAGGGAAATCTCTAGTGTATTTAAGTGCAATTAAACCATTAAAAAAATTCATATTGAATGCCGTATAAATGTGTGGGAAGTAGAATTTAATATTTACACCCCTTGGATATTGTAAAGAGATTTTACCATTATATATGATATAAAAAATGATTCAGATCCTCTCCAATTGATTAGTAATCGAAGAGCATCGCATTACTCCAATCCTATCCCTCTATTCCAATGCCAACGGCCAAGATGAAATCATAGAGCATTGTCAGTGCTATCACAATGTCGGTTCCTATAATAGTGGTTTTAAAGGCAACAGTGGTTTTCAAGATAACTTTTAGAGTCGTGTGTGGTTTCACCTCAACCCTTGAAATTGGAATAAACGATAAGGATTGCGTAATTGAACACTCTCCAATTACCGATCTTATAAATAAATATGTAGCTATATGTATTGCTACATTAAATACATGGAGGATATCCAATTTGTTTCCCCATCTTTTAGGTTAATTGTGCATTTTATTATGATTGTTGCTCATAATCCTCTTAATCAAACTGAAAAAGTAGTTTTTTCACATCAACTTAACCATCAGATACTAGTTCCCTCATGGTGTCTCAATACTTTTATCCCTGCCAGGCCAACAGTGTCATCTTTCAGTCTATCACGCCTAAGTGAAGCAAACCAAATACCTTGGTCCTTTCTTTTTTGCAGCAAGTGCAAATTACAACTGTATTTTTTAAATTTTTTTTTTTTACTACTAATGCAATTATATCTGTAGTTACAAAATCCTATTTTGATAGATTTGGATATAGATCACATATGCATCTATTTTGAAGTGAGATTTAGATTTGCAACTTAAATGGCAACACAGCCAGAACAAAAGTCCGAAAAATATAACACAAGTAACAAACATCTACTACAATAACAACGACAAGTATGGATGCTAAACGATCAAATCGAATCGAATACTAAGACGTACATATTTATATTTGTTTAAAATTATTGAATTTGAATGTGAACTCTAATGTTCATATCTAGAGGTTTTCGAATTTAAACTCGAATACTTAGTATTTGATAAATATTCATGAATACTAATCGAATATCATAAGTACATTTATACCGTTAAAGAATTTGATTTTTAAATAGTATTTAAATTCATAAATGAAAAGTATTCCTTTATAATATATGATGTATATATATTTAAATCAAAAATTTTATTAGAAAACAAATAAGATTATTCAAGTCTTAAAATCAATACATAAAACTTAAGTAGAAATGGTAAGTGGGTTACAAATATAATATCATGTGCAATAATACAAATAATAAGTGATCAAATTTTAAACGTAAACAAATATTTAATAGGCAAACGAATCAAATATACATCTAGTTAAATTCTTTTCGTTAATAAACTCAATAATTAAAAATATTTGCTTAGTGGTTAATGAACTACCGAATCGGATATGACCAAATAATTAATCAAACAATTATCGAACTATTTACTAATTATTTAATTCATTTCCACCCCTTATAAAAAGCAACTCACTACAGGCAACAACAATTGCAACAATTGAAGCTGCATCCAACAAATACATACAGTACAAGCAATGCAGCAGATGGTCACACACTCACAAGGGAAGAAACAAAAAGGATGCACCCCCTAAATACAGAGAGTAAGCAGTAAGCAGTGCATTGCCATCCGAGCTGAAAACAAAACGTCTCACGAGCTAAAATCAACTAAAGAACGCAAACATCTATATCCTTAAAAGACTACGACTGGACCACAAAAGCATCATTGAGTGCATATATTTATAATTGAAAGACACGTCCTTGATACACATGCCTTAAAATAAACACAATGTCCGCATTCTTATTGGGCAAAAAAGCCGGGCAAAAAAGCTCAGGCACAGTTTCCCTCAAAATGAAAACCTACAACCAACACGAACAGTAAAGCAAAAAAAGATCAATGTTTCGTGACCTCAAAAATAAAAATCTCCTTTTGGATGTAGGAAACATCCAAATTCATCAATTTTAATATTATTACATCAGCTGGAACTTGACATCCCCTTTAGGCGTTCTCTTTTGCAAGCCTCTCAGCCTTGGCAACAACCTCCTCAATTCCTCCAACCATGTAAAAGGACTGCTCTGGTAGGTCATCGTATTTTCCATCAAGAACACCCTGCAATAAATGATTTCAACAAATTTATTACTGAAAAATATTTGTGAGATAAACGTTTACGAAAATAAAGATGAGCATAAATAACAAACATTTCAAGCAAATATATCGCTCAGCCTAAGAAGATTGGTAAGCTCTTGGTGCCCAGCAGACACCAGACACAAGTCAGATTTAGTCAACAATACTGATAATAGTTTGGAACCAGCTAGGGATGGTCTATAAAGCTTTAATTAAAGTTTTTACACGCGTTTCATTGTGCAGAATTTCAATTCTCTTTAGATGTACAAAGCTCAAATTTAGATAAACCACTAGACATACATTATCAACATGATAAAAATAGCAAAATATTGCTGTGGCAATAATTTTTAGGTCAATGCCGGATATCTTTCTATTCTTAATAGATTACATTCTTCCTCAATATGCATAAATTATTTATTCTCCTTTGTTCGAGCTGGGCGGCCGAGCCAAATAGCAGCGTTGTATTCAAAAACATAACCAGATGAAAGTTGAACAATTAATGTTTCTTCGCGCTGTACGCATGTGTCATCAGTTTCTCAACTACGTAGAATACTATTTCCCAAAACATACTAAAAAAACAGAACACCTAGCAGAAAAGTCCATACCTGGAAGCTTTTGACACTTTCTTTAATATCCACATACTTTCCAGGTGCACCTGTAAAAACTTCGGCAACATGGAAAGGCTGGCTCAAAAATCGCTGGATCTTTCGAGCACGAGCAACAGTCAATTTATCTTCTTCACTAAGCTCATCCATTCCCAAAATTGCGATGATATCTTGAAGATTCTTGTAGTTCTGGAGAACCTTCTGAATGCCACGAGCAGTATTGTAGTGCTCTTCTCCCAAAACATTGGGAGAAAGCATTCTAGATGTAGAATCAAGGGGATCCACAGCAGGATAAATGCCCAGCTCCGAGATCTATAAGAAATGGACATATTTAGAATAAGTGAAAAAAATTGGTAAACTTCACAGCCACTACCCCCTACCCAAAAAAATGAGTTTGAAAGGTTTTGCAAAAACCCCTTCCAAACTTTATAACTCACAGAAAACCATGTGAACTTGTCTCGCTAAATAATAAAGTTGTCTACGTGCTCTGCATGTGTCTACATGCTCACTTTACTACGTACTTGCTAAATAGAACATTGCAGGTAAGGCAAAAAGTAAAGCGTAGTTTACACTTTTACTCTGTTACACCGTTATGAAAAATCTCCAAATCTGATAAGGTGTAGTGTAAGTTTGTAAGTTCAGAGGGATTTTCTATAATTTATAAATTTCATGGGGGTTTATGCAAACACAAAGTTCAGTGGGTTTGTAAAATTTACTCAAAAAATATGTAAGTGCAACTATGCTGGTCTTTCTGAAATTATAACTAAGCAACAAACCTGTCTAGACAACACAGTTGTTGCATCAAGATGGGCAAAGGTAGTAGCTGGAGCAGGATCTGTCAAGTCATCAGCAGGCACATAAATAGCTTGTACAGAGGTGATGGAACCCTTCTTTGTCGTCGTAATCCTTTCTTGGAGCCCTCCGATATCGGTACTTAGTGTTGGTTGGTAACCGACAGCAGATGGAATACGCCCAAGAAGAGAAGACACTTCAGAGTTTGCCTGAAATACAACATGAGCATCCAAGACTATAGCAAAATATCATGAATAGAGAATTTTATCCTATAAAGCAAAATCAGCAAAGCATACTTGGGTGAAACGGAAGATGTTATCAATGAACAGAAGCACATCTTGCCCTTCAGCATCACGGAAGTGCTCAGCGACTGTCAGTCCAGTCAGTCCAACACGAGCACGGGCACCAGGGGGCTCGTTCATTTGCCCATAAACAAGAGCACATTTGCTCTCACTCTATCGAAACAAACAATAATATCAGGCTTCAAATAAAAACCGAGCAAACCAAGAACTACACAGGAAGAAAAATTCAATTCCCAGACCTGCTTCTCTCCTAGCTTAATGACCCCACTCTCCATCATTTCCCTGTATAAGTCATTCCCTTCACGGGTACGTTCTCCAACACCAGCAAAGACAGAGAAACCACCTGATACAGGGTAATTTTAACAAACGTAATAAGCATTTAAAATCATGAATGCAATGAGGAAGTTATCTTGAAACCTACCATGAGCTTTAGCAACATTGTTGATCAGTTCCATAATAAGCACCGTCTTTCCTACACCAGCACCACCGAACAACCCAATTTTTCCTCCTCTCTGGTAAGGTGCAAGAAGATCAACAACCTGGTAACCACAGCAAACAAAATATGAGCAAATACAATCAATAATATATTACAGTATTGTTTGTAAATAACTAGGAATAGTGACAATAAAATTTCCTTATATAGGCATTAAACAGGAATGTACCTTGAACAACAAAGAGGACATAACAGGTAGGGATTAGAGTAATAGAATTCCAGTCGAAGAAACTAAAACCAGAAAATTTTCCGAAAGAAATTATTACAACTTACACAAACTTTTTAGGAGAAAAAAATAAATTCATAACTTTTATATTCAGCTCATTGAAAAAAGCATGAGGATTAGCATAACACATGTTGCAAGTTGGTAATCTCATCATTTTTTTTTCCTAGCTCAGAAATTAAATAACAATACATCTTGACAATAGAAAGCAAATAGTGGAATCATTTTATTAAGTAAAGACATTATAACTACGTTTATAAGCATCTAATGCAGTACCTTAATTCCAGTAACAAGGATCTCCTGCTCAGTAGCCTGCTCAACAAAAGAGGGGGGTTCTCTATGGATGGGCAGGAAGTGGTTTGTTTCTGTCAAGAAAAATGTGATAATATTAGATATAGGAACCAATAACTAAAGCATATCAAGCAATTTCATGACGTAAACTTACTGATATCACCCCTCTCATCAATGGGTTCTCCAATAACATTCATGATGCGTCCAAGAGTTGCGCGACCAACAGGCACCTAAGAAATAAACAAATAAAGAGTGATCAACTGAAAGTTGATAGAGATATAGCAGCTGGGTAAGACAAGAGTATATTGGGCCACCCCATGCAGAATATCATAGCCTCCGGTGATTATCGTTGAGGAGAAGATACACTAGAAGAGCCATAAATCGAATTAAATTTCATGATGTAATTATAGATCAGCTAGATACCAGTTACAGTAAGTGGACTCCAATATGAGAAGTTTGAAAGAATATTAAAGAAATTGTTCCTCTCAGATAAGACGCCAATGTAGGTATACATTGGCTCATATCACAGAATGAGCAGAAACCTTTTTGATGAAAAGAATATATAATAAGTCCTCAAAATCTAAATAAAGATTCCCAAATCTAAATAAAGCCTCATTATCTAATGCAGAACGGTTGCAGTACCAGTAAAAATGGAATATAAAAAAGACAAAATAATCAGACTCCAACAAGAGAAATCTAAGAGAGAGGTAAAAAAAACCTCCTTTGCAAGATATAAGTAAATAGCGGCGCAATCTATAGAATGATCTGAAGTCATTTCAACAGGGAAAACATACCTTAGGCCCCCTAAATCTCATAAAACTTCTCAATGTCAAATACAGAGTAATGAAAATTCCAGTCACATGTGAATTAAATGATATAACAAACTCCAACAAAGATCGAAGAGAAAAATAAAAGAAAGGCACCTCTTGCAGGAACTACACATATGTAGGTAAAAGAATAGGTTAATTACATGTAGCACGCAAAATACAATCAGGATACCCCAAATGTAAAATGACAAAAATCAAAGAATTACCGACAAAAATAGCAACAGAATTACTAAATAAATTTGTTTTATATATCCAACAGCTGATAAACCAGATAATTTCATAAACAACTTGAAACATTCTTCACAATCCTACTGCCAAGACGTATATATACTCACCGCACAAAATAACTTTTGTTGGCTAAAAGCTGCAAATTGCCAATATTAAATTCCACAAGCACAAGTGGCAGGAACAAAATGCTATATATAGTGCTATGACCAAAAAAAGTACTGTTGATCTATTAATATCATATACTATTCCATCAGACTAGCTACGTGTACAAAGTCGCATTGTGGATCCATGAGCCACAGAGAATAGAAGAGCTGTTAATTCAAATTCAATACATACCAAAGACACACTATTGACACAATATGAATTCAACTATCACACTATAGTTAATAGTTAAAAAACCCCGGGATGCACCAGATTCAATGGTAAAACTTATTATACAGATATATGAAAATTTTAATGCTACACCTGAATAAAAGGGAAAAAAAGATCAGTCTTTTTCATAAGAAAAATAGTAATCCCGAGATCACGCTCATCAAACCTAATACACACAGATCAGAAAAACGCGAAAGTATCTTACAGTGATCGGAGATCCAGTGTTCAAGACCTTCCCTCCTCGAACGAGCCCATCAGTGAGATCCATAGCGATCGTCCTCACAACATTCTCCTCCAAATGATGTGCGACCTCGAGAACCAACCTCTCCTCCCGATCCAGAACCTCGAGCGCCGTGTAGATCGGAGGCAGCCCCTCATCGAACCTCACGTCGACGACGGCACCGATGACCTGGCAGATCTTTCCGATCGATCCAGCTCCGGTGAACTCATCGGTGATCTTCCCGCTGGGAGCGGGGCCCTTGGACGCC